ACACACACACAAACACACACACAAACACACACACACACACACAAACACACACACACACACGCACATACACACACATACAAATACACCAACACACATACTCACACATGCACATAGACAGAGTCGCTGGCCTCTTGGTGAGGAGTCCACTTTGAGAGATCTAGAGGAGGGTTAATTAATCTTTTAAAAGCACTAAAACATAATGAAAATGAATTTTTAAAGTCAACTAAAGTTTAAAACTGAAAGATCAACAGACGATGTATGCTTGCAGGGCACGCCCACACAGTCAGCTGTTTACGTAAACAAACTTGAAGTGAGCTAGGAGCCACAGTTTTTACTTCATTTTACCAATCAGAGTTGTCAACAGACCTGCCACTCATCCCGATTTAGTCGGGATATCCCGATTTGTTGCCCCAAATCTCAAGCATCCCGATTTTCCCGATTTCGATCGCGTGTATCCCGATTTTTTGTCCCAGTCTGCTGTTGTGCCAGATCTTTCTAAAAACTTACTCTGCCCTCTCCTTTATCGCGGGAGAAGCACCCGTTGAACTTTTTGTCAGTAGGAACTCGGAGCACCATTTCCCGAAATTTCGATGCCGCATTTAGTAGTTGACTCGCCCCAAGTTGTGTGTGATCTTTGCCCGCACTCAGAATTCTCCGATGATAGACTGGTAACTGTTACAATTTGGGACATACAAATAATCGGTAATATTCGTAGTTCCGCTGTTACTTTCAAAACAAGCCTTGCCCGAGGTCTGGTAACTGCGCGTTCACATCAAACACTCGGACGAGCGACAGTCTTTCTAACCCTTACACAACTACATGTGACCGCGCTGACAAGACTAACATACGGCCGTTGTCATTGCTTTAGTCTGAACGCATTATAAGGGATAAGAGATTTGTTGGTACAATTGGTCGGTCGGCCGCCGTCGTTATCCTAGAAGTAGAACGACTGTCGCTCATCCGAGTGTTTTGTGTGAACGCGCAGGTAGTCGGACCCGTTAGTAAAATTGTTATAATCGCACATTCGCGTCACGTGACATATCATCGCGTGTAAGTTCTGCGCGTCCGGGACCGTCCGTTGGCGGGGTCAACTGAAGTTCATGTATTTCGGGACTTATTGGTGGGGGGGGGTATAGACACTTGGACTAGGAGTGCTTGAAGTGATACTTCACACACACACGCACACACGCACACGTGTGCGCGCTCGCAAACAAAGACACACAGAGGGTATATAGGCCAAGTAATTTATGGACACCCCTGGAAAAATATTAAGTCAGCTTTGGCAGTCACCTTGGTGATTTGCTGTTGGTCCCGATTTTTTTCACAAAATCCCGATTTTTTTCTCCCTGAGATCCTGATTTTGAGGTTTCATAGAGTGGCAGGTCCGTGTCTACATTTCAGACCATTCACGCTCGAAAAGGGGTCAAAATCTTTTTAAAAGTTGCTAATGAAGAACATTGAAGCAAAGATAGGATGAAGCAAAGGTAGCCATGAGGTTAATGATAATTGTTCTAGAAATAATCTCACAGCTACACACTAGCAAGGTCCAAATTCCTTTATCTCGTCACCCAAGCTCACAACAAACCACACATGCCTCCAAAATAAATCAAAATAAAGTATTTATAGTTGATTAAAATTGTTTATTTTTTATCTTATATGAAGCAGAAGACATCAAACTTTTATTATATCCAAAAAAAGAAATATTTCTTGGAAAGTCACTTTTTGCCTTTGGGGCCTCGTAGCTGATAATAGAAAAGTGCGTCTTACGGCTGATATTGACCGAGGCGGACATATATGCAGTTCTACATTCACTAAAAATAACAGAGTAAATCATTCAAGCAAAATATTGCTTACACTCTTGCTTACTAATAAGGAAAAGGTTTAGACTCATGTCAATGTCAAAAACGTTGTACTACTGGCCATTGAAAATTGAAGATGAGAGCTAAAAAATTACAAAGTACATGGTGACAATATGTTAGCTCAATTACAGTGAGTATGATTCTGAAGTTGTCACCTAAACAAGAGATAATGAGTGAACAAAGTAAATGGAGGTGTGTACACCACTAGCTAAGGCCCTAAATATCTCTTCTTAAATGAATGCATCTTGGGATTTAGCCCCAAATTGTTGATTTTACGCAAGGTTAACACTCAAGCGGTTGACTGTATCAGAAACACAATTACTTAAACAAAGAAGGTAAGAAACAAGACCACAGTGAGGTGTTGACTGTAAGCAAAAGTTGACTTTAAGCAATTTGACTTTATCAGGATTCCTCTGTATCTGTTATTACTGATCATTATGCTTGAAGCAAAAAAGTGAAATTAGTTATCATCAACAAAGGCAGTGTTCATTATGGCAAAAATATTTTTTTAAATAGGGGCATCTGCTCAGGTGTCTTCCAAATCTGGGTCCTCTTCCTGCTTTTCCTCCTCTTCTTCCTCCACCTCCATTTCTTTCTCCGTCCTGTGTAAAGCCCTGTGCCTCTTCAATGCTGCAATACTTGGAATATATTTCCCACATCCTTCCTGGCCTCTGCACTCTCTGGCCTATGCAGCCTTTCTTGACCAAGGCCACCTTTTTTTTTCTTTGTTATTTTTTCACCTCACAAAAGTGTAATCACATTGGTTCAAGCCACCCCCCTTTCTTACACTTTTCTTACAGTTACAGTAGCCAAA